CAAATACATCTACACAATGCGGTGGAATGGAAAACAAGTCCATGCACTTCCATGAAAAGTGGGTCGGTTTCTCCTTTTGTCCTTCTGGATGATTTGAATTTTTATGCTGAAACAAGACGTTATTCAGAACTAGGGTTGTCATAAGTATCGATACTAAAACGTTTTATCCGGATACAATACTCAATTGTTTATCTATTTACGTTGTTTATGATCATTAACGTGACGTTAGCCTTGAATTGCTAGCTGCGGCTAATGGGTAATAATAACACGCCAACATTAATCAAGTCTGCAGGAAGCCAAGGATGGATATCCAACTCTACCCACATCCAAGTCGGCCATTTTGATTAGGTCACCAATAGGAAGATCCCAGCAAAGAAAATCGTAATTGCTTCATGGCAATATAGAGGTTAATTTAAAAATAGTTAAATGAATCTTGCCAACACTGAATTAAACTCTATACATAATATTATGTTAAAATAGTGGATGTTAAATAGGTTTGCACAATAAGTCCAAACAAGTTTAACCAAAAAATATTTATTTCTCACAATTATGAAGGGTGGAGGGTTAGGGTTAGGGTCAGGGTTAGGGTAAGGGTTAGGGTCAGGGTCATTAATGTGGGTTAGGGTTATTAATGCGGGTTAGGGTTATTAATGCGGGCTACTGGCCACGATAACATCAGAAATAGTTTGAAACCACAAACCTGTCAAAATTCATACGTTTTCTTAAATTTTGGGGTCTTTGTTTTTATCATTGAGGTATCGAGTATCGAATATTTTCCCAAGTATCTGTATTGAGTTGAAAATTTTAGTTTCGTGACAGCCCTAATCTGAGCTAAAGTGAAGAGCAGAGTCTGGGCGGTTGAGCAGGAAAAACGTCTTAAGTCACTAAGACAACAGCCACGGGCTGTGGGGAAGAGCCGGGGGGGTGAGGAATGATGCTAAGTTGCTAAAGCTGTGGGTCGGTCAATGAAAATCTTTGTGTTTGGAGCACAAGCCCGAACCGAAACGTCGATAAATCCACTTTCACACCCCCCTCCGAGCAGCTGTGTGGGGGCTCCAGGCGGCCGCTCGGGTCCGCGGAGGAACGCTAGCTATGCTAGCTGCCTGCTGTTTGCTCTGGGCAAATATATGCAGCCATGCACATGCACAGCCCCCCCCCCC